GTTTTACCACCTTTTAACAGTTTTGCTAATTTCACCAGTTTTGCTATTTTTTGCCATTTTGCCATTTTAATTTTTTTAGGCTTTGGTATAGGTATAAATATACTGTTAATAGAAAGACAACTCTCCTCAACGATCACTTGGCACAGAATTCTGCAGAGAAATAAAGTATAGAAACAATAAAAGAAAAAACAATACTTGTAACTATACTATATGAAAATATATAAAAAAGATAGCACTAGATAGACTACAAGATATTTGGATAAACCAGTAGCAGAAAAGTCTATAACTAGAACAAAAACACTATAAACCAATAGTTTAAAATAAAAAGTGAAAGAAAAACAAACTACCCCTACAAAATTAGTTGAATTTTATACAGAGTATCAAACCAGCTAATACAAGATTCACAATATAAGAAACCTTCAAGATATAAAAGCAAAATACTAAAATAATGCTTTCTAGAAGCCCCACCTTTAAGGTGACTAGCATGTCCAAAAAAATTGGCATGCTATGTGGCATGCCAATTGCATCAGTGGCATGCCATTGGTATACCACTTGTTATACATATTTTTTGTACTACATCAGTTGGCTATATTACACATATTTTTATACTATATCAGTTATTCTATTACATTTTTTCTTTTTTATATGTAATAGTAATGATAATTCTCTCTAACTGGTAAACTACAACGATATTTATTGATTTACCAAACACAAATTTATTTATTTGAATCTGATCTTAAAAATTTAAAATAACATATAGATTCTAACAGCTATAATAAAATAATAAAAGTATGTCTCAAAGGTACAACTATGTATGAAATTACTAAAATACTTCATGATTTAAAAATTTATAATAACCATATACAGATTACAATCTTTTTAAACTTCAGATTGAAAAAAAATATCATCAATTGACCAATCTTCAGTACTAATGGTGGTATTTTGAATTTCGTTCGAAAATACCCATATTAAAAAACTCTTCTATCATTAATTCATCCTTTATATCAATACTCACTGCTTTAATATCAAATTTCAATAGCTCTTCTTTGAACTCTTTCTCAAAAAGAAGATCATTATTAGAATTTTCAATATCTGTAATATTTGTAAGACTTGTAGATAAAGTAGATAAAGTTTGTTTTTTAGATTTTTTTTTAAATAATTCAGGTAGTTTTTGTTGAATATTGTGATGAAGCATCTTAAGCATTGTCATCAAGATGATAGATATTCTGTTTTGTAATTTTGTTTTTACAAGCCCCAAGCTAGAGAATAAGTGTTTAACAGCTACTACATAGGAAACGATTAAAAAGATCTTTATAGCAAATCGTCGAAGAAGGGGGAGGCCTCCAGTAAACTGTGCCCAGAAAATTCTAGGATTAATATCCTTAATATTTTTGTAAGTACCAAAAGGAGCATCTCCATTTTTATAATTTACAAGCTCTTTGTATAAAAGAGTAGTTTCTTTTTTATTAAAGCCCCAAATTTTTGCTAATTCTAAAGAAGCTCTTATAATTATATCACCAGATATTTTTTTTGATATTGCAATTTGCTTATAGTATAGTGATAGAAAAAAAGAAACAAAATAAATATTATCTGAAAATTTACAGGCTCGTTTATCAATAGCTGCTAATGCATGTTCTTTAAATCTGTTAATTGGAATATTTGCTTTGATAATAGTATAATAAATATTAATTAACTCTTTAAAAATATCAGCTAATATGGTATTTCTTAATTCCAGACAACCAATAGCATCTATGATAGAAATAAGTACTGTAATCAATGTATTATTGTTAGCAAAATAATAATGACTATTAACTATGTTTTGAATCTCTGTTTTAATTGTAGAATAGTTACTAAATCCACTAAGATTAATACACTGTTAAAAACCTTTTTTGAATGATTTTACACCTAAGCAAACTTTTGCAAGAGAATACTATTGTGTCTCACAGAATGTTGTAAGTGAATAGTATATATCTTTTTTCTTTTGCCGATCTTGCAATGTTCGAAGCCAGATATGAGAAGATGTGAAAAAGTTGACAAGCTTTTGATTATTTTTAATAACTGCAAATAGTGGCTGAAAAGAAGAAATATCCTTTGCAAGTAAGTTAAAAGAATAAAGACAACAACAAATAGGAATTATATTTGGATAATCTTTTTTAAAATTATTCCTTATTTTAACCATAACCAAAAGATTATCAGTTACACATGCAATAACAGATTTAATAGAGACTGAATTTAATTGAAGAACTTTCTCAAAGGAAAGTCGCAGTATGACAATTGCCAACAAGTCAATAATATCTAAAATTTGCTTCTGCTTTTCTTTTAAGGCCATAAAGCCATAAATAGAGTTTCAAGATACATCTTGCCATCTATCTAAAGCAATTGTAAGATCAGTAAGAGATAATATTGTTTCTAATTTTTTAGCTAGATAAGCAGAATATAAATTATTAAGAATTTTAGTATTTAATATCTCTGCAGAAGGTGGACAATAATTTGGAGCAAGTTCATAAAGAAATTTGAGAAAATAAGGGTTTTTGACGAGTTTAAAGAACAAATTGTCATAGATAATAGCATTAAGCAATTTTTTGTTAATTTTAGCTTGTTTATCTGATGAAAATAGTTTAACAATCCAACTTGTTAAATTTTCTTGGCGCTTTATTGTGAATAAGAAAGGACTATTGGCTATATTATTTAAATTATAAAAGCTAAGTTAATAAAGTATTTTAATTATTACTAAACTGTTTACAATAACATACTCAGATTGTTCTTAATTTGAACTAATTAAAGCCTTTTTTTGAGATTTAGGCAGAGAACTGGTGACTTCTTTAATATAATTAGTCTTTTCAGTAACAGACCAGTTACTACATGTAAGAACATGGTTATGTAATTTTTCAGGTTTACCAGGTAGTTCAAGTTTATAATAAAAACATTTCACAATATATCTATTGTCTGAAATTTTATCTACAGAATGCCAAAAGCCAGACCAGCAATGATCATGATTTGATATATTAGGAAGAACAAAACCAGGTAGTAGGTGTGACTGCATTATGTTAAGTTGAATTTAAGTTTTTTATTATTTTAAGCACTAATTAAAGCTTGAAATTTTTTTTTTTTTTAAAATTAGGCTATCAGAAATTGAGTCAATTTGCACAATAATTTCTTTTTTTTTTTACTTTATATATAAGATTCTGATTATAATTCAATTTTTTTTTTTTACAGAGTATAGTTGAAGATTACTCCTAGATTACACATGTATTTTATAAAGAATCTGAGAATTTTTACGATATTTTCTTTGAATGTAATATATGCAATTTGTTTGAAAAATGGTTTGTACAAATTTACTTATAATATTATACTAATAAAAGACTTATTTTTCCATAATGAGTACTTGATTTTTTGCGCAAATAAATTTTAGATTTATTTTTTCTTTGTTATATAGATATGTTTATAAGAATTTTAAATATTAAGTATTGCAAGAATTGAGAAAGTGATTCAAATAATTAGAAGGTTTTAGAATTAATATTCAGATATTGATTTTAGATAAAATATGTGACGTATTTATTTCAAAACAAGTAATGTATAAATCTTCTTTTTTTAAAGTATATACTTATTTATATAATTGTTTACTGATAGATATTTAATTTTATTTAATTTTTCTGATTTGGAATTTTAGAACTCTTTAACTCTTACTTATTTTTTAAAATAGTTAATTCTGAAACCCCTTGTCACTATCTGAATAATGCTTATTTATTTGAAATAATTTATATAATTGTTTCTATATAGTTTATTAAATATATACTTATAGATAAACACATATCTTTGTTTCAATTAAGGTTAAATTGATTCAACACATGTTAGTATTGAGCCTGGAAAAACCAAATATAATATTATAAGTGGTCAGATAAGTATAATTTAATGTACTGCTTATTTATAGTAGAAATTATAGGACCCAAATTTGATATCCGGGCAATAATGATAATGATAAATGTATAGAAGTATAAATAAAAACTGGGGAATAGTTATTATTTTAGTTTATCATTATATATACTATACTTAATTAAGCAATTATTAAAGTACAATTCACATGAATACAAAATCATTATACCTATTATGCTATTTTTGCATAAATCTTTTAACAATTATAATATATTATATTTATTTGAGGTCTTATTTATATACTTTAAAGTACTTTTTGGAAACACAACATTTCACTAAAATAGCAAAATATACCTACTGCTTATTAAACTATATCAAACTATAATTCTCTAATTTCTAACCCTAACCTTAACAAATCTTAGGACTGGTGATATGTAGTAATTTTCAAAAACAAAATATTATAATTCATGATATTTTTCTATTGATAAATTTTTAAAATACCAAAACAAAGACTTATATATCTAAAAAATAATCTTAAAAAAATAAAGCTAGAATAGCAAGTAGTTTGTAAAACAATGAGCTAGAAAAAAGAATGTTTTTACTTTCTAAATAACTTTCAAAAATGATAATTACATATATAATAGGTTCAACACTATGTATTGTAAAAACAATTACGATTTACAAACTACATTATAATCAAATCTTAAATTAAAAATTTGCTATGAGCCTAATAGTTTTAAGCTTTTTAAGAGCTAATCTTTCTAATAGACTTGAATATTAAGGTAAAAAAAAATTGACAGAATGTTTTCTTTAATTTTATTAAACATGCTCTCAAAATTTAAAAAATAAGCTCTAGCTTATAAAACCTAGATTGAAGTTTACAATCTTTTAAATAAAGGTGTAAATACAAATATTACCTGAAGTCTCATGATATAGTAATTAGTTTAAGTTCGTTCAATTTGTCATTGATGAGTATAATCAAAAAAATAAGATGTCTGCCAGGCTTGTGAAGAAGATTTCCTAAGCTACAGATCAGATTTCAAGAAATAACACGAATTGACTAGGAAAAAATTCAATCAAATACTTATTTTTGTCAAAATTGTTTATTTTTCAAAAGTTTGCATAAAACTACCTTTAGGCAAAGATACTGTTCCTGCATAAAAAAATAATAATAATAATAATTAACAGAAATAACTTGCACAGAGTTCCTTTAAGAACTTTATTAGGAAGGTTCGAGGCACTACTAGTGTTGGCAAGCAAAACTTAGAGATTTCATACAGGCGAATAGAAAAAACTAGTTTTGACTTTTGCTAAAAAAAAATTAAAATGGCAAAATGGCAAAAAATAGCAAAACTGGTGAAATTAGCAAAACTGTTAAAAGGTGGTAAAACTAAAAAAAAATAACAAACTAGTATAAAAAAGTAATTAAATTTTATTTGTATCCTCAATAAATCATTTTTTTAATTTTTTCAAACTTTAAGCAAACTATTCCAACAATTACTAAGTTAAATTTAATAAGCTTTTTATTTAAATCCTATATGTTTGTAGAATTTAAATAAAAAAAATTTATAGAATTTGACTTGGTAGTTGTTGAGATAACTTAAAGTTTGAGAAAAATTTATTTTTAGAGTTTTCTTAAAACTACAAGTAAAGATATGTTGACAATCACTAAGTCAAATTTAGTAAACTTTTTTTATTAGAATTCTACAAATATATAAAATTTAAATCAAAAAAATTATCAAATTTGACTTGGTGGCTGTTGAGATATCTTCACTCAAAGTTTAAAAAAAATTTTGCCATAGCTTTATTTTGATAGATATTTTGAAATATTTTTAAAAATTTGAGCAAAATTATCTCAACAATCACCAAGTCAAATTCAATATACATTTTTTTATCTAAATTCTACAACTATATAGAATTCAAATAAAACAAAATTCATCAAATTTGATTTGGTAGTTATTGAGATATCTTTACTTAAAATCTTAAAAAAAAAACTTAAAAATGTTTAACAAAATAAAGCTGCACCAAACTTTTTCTCAAACTTTGAATGATTATAACTGACAACCATTAGATCAATTTTAATGAACTTGTTTTTATTTGAATTGTTACAATATATAGAATTTAAATAAAAGAAAGCTTATTGAATTTAATCTGGTAGTTGCCAATATATCTCTACTTGAAGTTTTAAGAAACTCAAAATAAAGGATACCAAAATTTTTTTCAAACTTTGAATTAGGAACATGGAATTTATGCAATAAGAATTTGTAAATCATGTATGCAGTATGTGTAATATATATAATTTGCTGATAATTAAAATTTAAA